TGCAAGAACTCTGCTTTATTCTATGTCCTTTTCTAACTGGCTGGGTGCAACAAGAGCTTCCACCAAACCCCTCCAGACTCTGTTTGGGTAACTCAGCACTTATAGGCCAGTTCCCACTACCACTTCGTCCCTGCCAAATGAAACTGAATAACAGAAACATTAAAAAACCCAGTATTAATACAACACACAATTATTAATGTTGAATCAGTCTTCGATGTGCCTGCACTGTTGCTTGGACCTGTGGGGCTCCCCTAGAACAGCAGCACACCTGCTTTCTGGAGGCAGTAAATCCACTTGTTCTTAACGTATTCTTGGTGCCTGTCTGAGACCCTCCTGGGCAAAATGGCAGACTTATCTCCCTCCTTTCTGGGATTATTCCTCTAGAGTTCATGTCCATCTGGGGTGACAGATGGCAACCTTTTGTGACACCACTTCCGTTTTAAACCACTGTTTCCCATCAGAGAGATGCACTGTGTCATGTTCATGAAGTGGTGGCAGCTCCCAGGACCCCAAATCACACTGAGGTTTTGTTTTCCTTTATCTGTCCCTTTACTGTCTGCAAGTCCTCAGTGGCTCTGATACCAGTTTCCAACAGTGCAGACATTCTTGTTTTCTGTTTTCTTTTGAACAAAGGGTCAGCGACAGGTAGGGTGACCAGATAGCAAGTGTGAAAAATCGGGACAGGCGGTGGGGGGTAATAGGAGCCTATATAAGAAAAAGACCCAAAAATCGGGACTGTCCCTATAAAAATCGGGACATCTGGTCACCCTAGCGACAGGGGCAGAGACCAGCATTGCATGCTTTTCTCTTCCTTAGTTCTCTTTTCTTGTTTTGGATTCTCTATCATGTCCACATCCACCTCCAATAAGCTTCATTCTGAATTGGAGGATTTCCTTTTCTTGGCAAATTCTTATTGCTTTGTCAAGGATTAATTCGGCTCTCCCCATCATCTATTGCTGAAGTTTTTGTTTCAAATCTCAATCATACTCAGGTCTCTTATCAGGAACTCAGACCCCCAAAATTTCAAGATTGGCTCTTAGATCAGTCACAAACTCTTCTTTGGTTTCATCTTCTTTTTGTACTCTGTTTATAAACATCTCTCTCAGAGGTTTCATTTTTATGTGGAGTGCAGTATTCCTCAAATGTCTGTACTAGTTTCATGGTTGGCCTCCTCAGCCTGAGTTAACTGAAATTTATTATACACTTTGAGTGCATCGGAACCAGCTATTGCAAGACCATATGCACTGAGCGATCACCCCCACACAGTACCAGAAGCAGAGTTGAAGCTCTCTGGAAATGTAAAAGACAATTCAAGGTTTAAACAGCACTTCACTCTGTATGTGCAGAGGTAAGTGCCAGCTGTCTTCCTTTTTGTTGGGCTAAAAGTTATAAGGCGGATGATATTACCACTACCCTTCTCCTCTTCTTGCCAGTTAGGGCCAAGTTCTCAGCATGAGCTGAGTGTTGGCCAGTGGCACTGACAGGGCAGCAGCTTTCACAGTCATCACTCTTGAGGATGGAAACAAAAAGTCCAAACATTGGAGACAAGCTTCTGGTGCTTGAGAGGTAGGGCTGTAGGACAAGAAAAAAGCATCAGGGCAAAGTGCAAGATAATGCTTGGGGGGGGGGGGGGAAACAGAATCTGAAAACACATACACTACATCAGAAGAAGAAGACTGAGAGAAGCCCAGTGTTCATATAGCTGGGAAAGTAGACGGAAGTTTACAAATGACATGGTTTCTCACACACACACACACACACACACACACACACACACACACAATGCAGTTTGGGTTGCAAACGCAAAGGCATTTCACTAATCTGGGCAGTATTAGTCTTTTCCTATATGGCTCTGATGTGACACAACTGGAGTACTATATTCAATTCTGATCAGGCTTACCAGCCTAAATAGAGACAAATGGAAAAAAACTTAAAGAAGAGTAACAAAAAATATCAGAGGGATGAAGGACTGATTTAAGATGCAAGACAGAAAGAGCTAAAGATGTATAAGCTTGGCTAAAAGATGACTAATGGAGGGACATGGCAATGTGCTATAGCACTAATGGAAGGCTGAAATCACTAAGGACGGAGAGGAATTATTTAGAGTGCTGTAACGATGAGTAATGTGGTGCAAGCAAAGAAGAAATTTTAGGATGAGTATCAGGAAAAACCTCATGACAGTGAGATGTAGCATGTGGAACAGTCTGCCAATGGACGTCATAGAAACTTTAGGACTTTTAAAACCGTCTAAAAGATATTGCACAGGAACTCCTGTTCTGTCAGGAAAATAGACTGAATTATCTAATAGGTTTTTCTAGTCTCAAACTTCTATGATTTCAGAATACATTCAAATGAAATATAGAATTAATGTGCCTCTCTGCCCCCTACAAATTTCTATCACTTCTTCCATCCAGTGCCCTACTGAATCCACTATGAATGTATGGTATTCAAATAATCTCTTGTTTTCACTGATGAGATTTCTCTACAATAAACTCTCTTCTCCTATTGCAAACACAAAAAATACATTTTCAAAGTGCAGGAGGTGATGATTATATTTAAAGACAACACTACAATACTTTGCACTGTGGGACTGAAATACCCACAACACACATCTCTCGTCCAAGTGCAATAACCACATATGCATGTTCACGATAACTGGTGAACTGTGCAGACTATTCTTTGCAATTTAGTTGGTATGTGGGCACTTGTTGTTTCTATGCAGTCCTAAATACAATTTGGTATTAGCTTCATAGTGGTATGTGAAGAGCCTATTCCTACGGTCATGATTTCCTGATATGAGGCAAGAAATTACGGATAATATTGCTCAAGAGAAATGAGATTTCCTTATAATTAATTTGGACTTCTGATTCTTTCTTCTAACTGAAGTATAAAATCACTTGGGTATGAAGAACCAGTGGTAGGTCATCTACTCCATCCCCCATTGCAATAGGAGTGATTTAACTGGCCATGACGATGCTTAGTTGAGCCTTGAATGTCTTTTGGGGGTCTGGGGGGGGGGGGTGAAGATTCCTCAGTCTTTTTAGCAGCTTGTGCCATGTTACATTTGTAGTTATTTGTAATATTTGGCCTAATATTACCAACTCAGCTCTAGTTTGACTAATGAGTGTTCCATTTTTTAATAACATTCTTTTACGTATTTGTAGTTTTATATGACCTTTCAATTGTTGTCTTTAGCCAAAATATGGCCAGTTCTCAGTATCCTTTTCTTGGAGTCTTGTTTTCAAACACTGAAATTTTTGCTGCTGCCTCCTGAACCTTCTCTAATGGATTTGTTTTTTTAAAATGTGCAGCATGGTGCAGAATACATAACTCCAACTAGAACCTAAATAGGGCTGAGCAGAGAGACCAAACCATCAGTGAGGTTTCTAGCTGCAGTTCAATGTGAGTGCAAGAAGGCCATTTGCCTATAGCAGGGAGCAAAACCCTGTACTAACTGAGCAAAAATTGCATTATAATACATGGTATAGGGATATCCAAGGAATGAAAATCAGGCCTCCCCAATCCCATGAACATCATTAAGTTAACAGAACTGGGTTGGGTATAGCAAGAGAGTGTGGCTAGGCTTTTGCTAGATTTCTCTGCTGACTGCATTTCTTGTGGCTCCGCAAGGAACGAACATGGTATAAAACAAACAGCGTTATCTGGGAGATCAGGGACTTCACCGCATTAGAACCTATAAAACCAAATGATCACTGGTATTCTTCACACATCTTGTGTACATACTCACAATATATATCTTTCAAAATCTCCTGTCAACATGCTGTCACAGGCTACAAAGACACAGAAAGGAATGTTAATGGTGACATCTACTTCTATAGGCTTAGCATTCAATTCTGGTATACCAGCAAAACTGAATTCAGAGAGTCCTATAAGCTATTACTTCTATGCCCACAGTCAGTGGGACAGTCCAGCAAAACACACCAGAAAGAATAGCACAGCATGTGAGGGCTGGTTACCAGTATAATAAAACCATTAAACACAAAACATGGGATTTTCAAAAGTGCTCATTATTGGTCTAGCTTTTGTCCCATTGAAATCAATGTGAGTTTTACCACTGACTTCGGAGAAAAACATTTTAAAACAAAAAAGGTGTGCTGTAGTTATCTCCTTAGATTTAGCAGAGCTTAATCAACTCCTGCCCACTTTGTGACATATCAAGGGGACAGGGAAAACTGTGTGTTGTCCATGCCTGAGGAGATGACTCTTTAGGGATGGGCTGCTGACACAGCTTGCATGAAGGATACAATCAACAAGGGGCTGGTTCCTTTCTTGGCAATCTTTTCAACTATGAAGATTCAGCCTTCATAAAACAAACCGAAGTGTTGCTGTTCTGTTAATCCTGCTTTGCAGAAAAGCATAAAATCACCCCTCAATGAAAAGTGTGCCCCAATTTAAATGTTAGTGTTTTTAAACAAAGGAAATTAAATGCACCAAAGAATGCTCATGTAACATGAAAGTAAAAATTGCACCAAAAATGCTATAGCAACATGAAGGTTAAAACACAAAATATCAGGAGGTACAAAAAAGAAAAGCTTCTCAAAGAAACACTGACTCACACATGTTGCACAAATACAATATTATCAAATTACTAGTTAGGATTTTAAGGCCTGATATACAGCCAGGCCACAGCCCAACCTCTAATTTTTGTGGGTGCAATTTTTGCATCCACAATGGACATCTAAATATCTGCAACAGTAAGTGCAAATAGTTAGATGGCCAAATGTTACCATTTGCTGTGACTGCAATTATTTATAAGTGCAATTTTGTGCCTGCAAATTTAGAGGCCATTGCTGAAAATCAGGCCCTACATGTAAACTTTATATGAAATATATGCAATGCGGGTGAATATATTACTATGAGAATCTGAATTTTTTCCATCTTTTGAAAATTGTATTTTAAATTTTTAACCTTCACATGATGTTAACATAATGTTTTGTATATAATATTTATTAATTCTTAAAAAGTACTTAATACACAGATTTCTGTAAAAAAAAATTTATTGTCCATATAAAAGTGCCAAAATATCCACCAACACTGTAATCTAGTTCAATAACCAGCTTAATCTAGTAATCAAAATTGCAAGCATCTTTATTCACATTTTTAAAATCAAATTCCTGTCACATGTTTCCACAATAACCCGAGTCCCTAGAAAGTGGGAAATTTGCATTCCGGTTGGTGGTTGTAGTCCATATGTCCAAGTTCATATAGGCACGGAATGGGTTAAACCTTGGATAATACTCCTGCTTACACATAACTGCCTGGTTCTCAACATGAGCTGAGTGTTGACCGGTGGCACTGACTGGGCAGCAGCTTTCATAGACATCACTCTGAGGTGCCCAGATGGAACCAAAAAGTCCAGACATTGGGGACAAGCTTCTGGCACTTGAGAGGTAGGGCTGTAGGACAAGAAAAAAGCATCAGGGCAAAGTGCAAGGCAATATGCTGGGGGAAACAGAATCTGAAAACACATACACTACATGGGAGGAAGAAGCAGCCTGGGGAGCAGAATTGCTGAGAGAAACCTAGGGATCATATAGCCAGGAAATTATAGACAGGAGTTTACAAATGACATGGTTGCAAAAAAAAAGGCCAATACAGTTTTGGGTTGCATATGCAAAGGCATTTCACAAAGCAGGGCAGTATTAGCCTTCTTCTATATGGCTCCGATGTGACCACAACTGGAGTACTATATCCAGGTCTGATCAGGCTTACCAGCAAAAATATAGACAAATGGAGAAAATTTAAAGAAGAGTAACAAAGAGTATCACGGGGATGAAGGACTGATTTAAGAGACAAGACAGAAAGAACTAAAGATGTATAAGCTTGGCTAAGAGATGACTAATGGAGGAACATGGTAACATGCTATAGCACTACTGGAAGAACGGAACACACTGCTGTGAGAGTAATGGGGTGCAAGTAAAGAGAAATTTTAGAATGAATATCAGGAAAAACCTCTTGAAAGTGAGATGTATTAGCCTGTGGAACAATCTGCCAATGGAGGTCACAGAAGCCTTAGGACTTTTAAAACCAGCTAAAACACTAAGAAATGTATTTTAGGGAAAATCCTGTTCTGTCAGGAAAATAGACTGAATTACCTAATAGGTTTTTCTAGTCTCAAAACATCTATGATTCCAGAATACATTCAAATAAAATATAGAATTAATGTCCCTCTCTGCCCCCTGTAAATTTCTATCACTTCTTCCATCCAGTGCCCTATTGAATCCCCTATGAATGTGTGCTGTTGAAATCATCTCTTGCTTTTACTGATGAGATTTGTCTGTTAAACTCTCTTTTCCTATTGTAAACACAAAAAATACATTTTCAAAGTGGAAGATTTTCATCCTAGTGCAGGAGAAGGTGATTATATCTAAAGACAACACTACAACACTGAAATAAACTTGTCCCATCCCTTCCTGTTCATCTGCTACACTTTTCTCTTTGGAGACAAGCAACAAAGTGCCAAAGTGAGTGCTCAGGGACTCATGCACAAATCCAGCTGAAGTCAGTTTGAGTTGCATGTATACATTGCAGAGCAAACCTTGTGGATGTTACCAAGAGCACCAGGGCTGTGCATGCTACTCTACAATTTCTGATTTCCCTTTTGTGTTTATAACTTTAGAATTGTTTTCATTATCAGCACTTCTTGCTTCTATCCTCCACTGTAAACCGTTTTTTTTTTGAGGGAGGGAAAGGGGTAAACAGATTATCCAAATCCAACATGCACGTTTCCATTCTTAAGGGTCTCAATACAATGTTCAAGTAAAATGACCCAACAGAAACTTATCAAAATATTGGTGAGATACTATGAATAGTGCTAACAAAATCAACATCAAACACCACAGCTTACTGGAAAGAAAGGAGGAGAGACTGAAATGTAAAGGTATCTGGCAGGCACTTCAGAGCAGCACATTAGGCCAACACATAGTGACCGGAATACTCACTGAAGAGTTGACGTAACTGGCTGGTTCCCAGGTAGGCGCCATGTTGGGTGGAGCGCTCCAGGTAGACTGACAATTGTGATCAATGAAGGCAGTATTTTGAACTTCTGCAGTACATGGGAAGCCATTGGGGTAATTCATGTTTTCTGCAGTTGAGGAGAGATGGAGAACAAAATTAAGCTTTTTGCATTATAAATTATATTAAACTTTCTGCAGGGGGGGCTGAACTGTGCCAGCATGAGAGACATTAGAACTGCTGGCCGGTTTTCACCACTCCAAGGTGACTTCCTGGCAATACAGCAATCACCTCTTTGTAACATTTACATATTTCCATGCATCTTTCAGACCTACAATATAAATAGGATTATCGTTTCTTATTAGCTACTACTGGGGCCTTTAGCCAATTGCTAGCAAGGGAAATGGGTAAAGGCTACATAAAACCTTTTATCTCTGGAAAGCTGAAGCTTGAAACCCTCCATTAGCACAAGGCAAAGCTTCCCATCCTTCCCTGCCCACATGCCTCAGCCCTAAACTCCCAAGAGACTACGGCGATTCAAAATCCTGTGCTCTTGTAGCTTCATCTTTAAATATAGCCTAGCTAGTAGTGCAGTATTCCAGGTAACTGTGAACATGCTTAATGTGCAAAATAAGTCACATCCTGGGGAAAAATAGGCCACAAGAGACGTTATGTTGTACACGCTAGTATACTGAGCTCTGTCACAGGTGCACAATCTGTTGGGATTTCTACTTTGAGAAACCTGGTCTTTGCATAGCACTTTTAAGTTGCCTTGTTATTTCTTATATGCACACACAACACAATACTGTAAAGCACTTGGTGTCAAAAATTTAAATTTGAGTAAATGACAGCTTCTCAAAAACGAACAAATACTTTTCAGGCTTTCTATTCGTAGATTTGTTTCAGCTCATTCTCCACCAATGAGTACCGACATAGTTGAGGTTTGATATTTGTGAGTGCGGTGCACAGAAGGAATGTTAAAAAGAGCAGTCTGGGCCTGATAACTCTTCTGGAGTTACTGTAGTCACACTAGTAGAAAACTGATGTAAGTAAAATCAAAATCAGGCCTTTAGGAAGCTCTGCAAACCAGGTTTTGGGTGAGTGGGTCAAAACTCATTCAGGTTGTTCCAAGTCAGGAATTTAACTAAGGGTGTCTGAAAAACCTCATTCTAGAGAGGAGTGAGGACCATGTGGTTAGGGCACTAGAACAGGAATCAGGAGACCTAGGTTGTGTTCCTAGATCTTCCACAGATTAAATTATTTAACTCCTCTGTGCCTTAGTTCCCTAACTGGAAAACAGACATAACTGCACTTTCCTTCTCCCATCCTTTGTCTGTCTTGTCCACTTAGACCATAAGTTCTTTGGGGTAGGGACCAACTCTTGTGCGTGTTCAGCACCTCGCACAATGGGAACCTCATATTACCTGGGGTCTCTAGGCACTACTGTAATACACATACGTGATAAAAACTAATTTCTCCTAATCTATTTTACCCTAATTAAAAAAATTAGCAAGCTCAGCTCTCTAACAGTCTAGTGCTACTGGTTTTAAAAGAAAAAATGATATTAATTACCTTGCTTTTCAAAGGAGGAGAGAAAAGAACATGCTTAGTGATATTTTGGAAGTTTAGCAGCACTCTTACCTTCTGGAAAAGCACTGTATTCATTCATCTCTAATGGGCAATACATGTTGGGAAACTGGCTATCACAAGTTGCATTCCAATCAATGAAGCTATTACAAACGACAAAATCAAACAACAAAAATCGTATAAAATCAAACAACAAAAATCAAAATACTGTACAGGGTTTATGAAAATAGTTTAAAAACACTAAGATACTGTTAAACTATTAGATGACAATTGCCTGAAATAAGTGATTGCACTTCACACATACTAATTACGTAATAGTACAGAACAGTCATTATCAGCAATGGTGGTGTGTTAAAATCAGGCTCATTCTTATACTGAGTGGGGTTTGGAACAATTTTTATTGGGGGGGGGAGGGACTGAAAGCCATTGAACCAAACTGTAAACCCTGTATATGATGGGAACCACTTCAAGCCATGGGGTGCAGCACCCCCTGCCCTCCTAGTTCCAGCACTTCTGATACTGAGCATTTTTTTTAATCTTTTCCCCATGAGGCGGAAGAAGAGACTAGTGGCTAAAGTACAGAACTAATAGGAAGGTTATCTGAGTTCTGTTTCTGGATCTGCCACAAACTTCCTGTATTACTTAAGCAAGTACAAACCTTCTGGGATTCAGTTTCCCCATCTGTAAAAAAAAGGAATTATAATATGTTCCTACCACATAAGCGTTTTAGGAGGGAACTATGGCCACTGGGAGTTGCAAGCGGCTGTACCTGCGGACGCTCAGGTAAACAAAGCATCTCACGGCCTGCCAGGGGCTTACCCTGAACAAGCCGCAAACCAAGTTTGGGAACCCCTGGTCTACAGTAAGATTCTTGCTCACTATAGCTTAACATGCAACCATACCATGGAAACTGTTTAAACGGCATATGCTTAAGAATCATTGCATGATAAGCTCAGATACATTAATGCTGTTAAGGCCATAGGCTGAAAAACACGATATCAAAAAGTGAAGCAAAAAATAACTTGCCTATTGTGAACCGAAGGGGTTTCCTGGATCATGCATGGTACGTTATTCTCAAGGTTATAGTTTAAGCTATTTGTCAAACAGACTGGTTGAGCAGGCCACAAGTCTCCTGTAGGATAAAGACCTAGAAAGGCAAAGAGATCTTGATTGAAGTGTATGAAATGCAACAGGATAGAAATGAGGGATCCACCAAATCTTAGTACTATGGTGACATCTGATTCTCAGATCCACAGTAAAAAGGTTCTATGTATGAGAGATAATCCAACCAGAGAGATCGCTTTATAGTTTTCCCAAAGGACAGTACCTATCCCTCCCTCCTATATTACTACTTGAAACCAAAAAGAAGGGCTGTTAATATAAAAAGAAACCTCACTAAAAGATTCCAAGACAGACTAACTGTCAGGGCCAGATCCTACAGCTGATATAAACTGACTCAATGGAGGTAGGCCAATTTATACCAGGTGAGGATCTGTCCCTAAGAGTGTATGTCACTGGGCGAAAATTCCTAGGGAAGAACTTATTGACAAATGTTTACGTTTGATGGAACTTGCTGTGCAGATGAAAACAAAATCAAACACTTTTCAATTGGGTAAAAAAAAAAAGATAATAATAATAATAATAATATTGAAGCGGATTCTGAAATTCAACATAGCAAAAGCAAAGATTCCTACAGAAAGTACATGTGATGTTGGAATGACATCAGTGATGAGACCTGGTACTTGTATCTTTCATCATGGGAGAATGGACTAAACAAAAATGACTGTTTTCACAGCCAAATTTGAATACTGATTACATGTTTGTGTATTAAAACTTTTCCTCAGGAAGAGGCTCTAGTTTTGAACAGAAGAGCTCGTGCTGCTAGAGCCATTAAAAACAGGAATAAACTATAAGCGCACATACTTTTTAAAGGGAAAAAGACATGAAAAAAACAAGAGAGAGAGCAAGCTTCAGATTCCCTCTTGGATCCACAATTCTATTCTACAATCTCTAATTTATCCCGTAATCTTTTACTCCACAATTTATTAATCCCACCAAACAAATGAACATTATTTCCATTTGAAATGCAGATAAACGAAAACAACCACATATTTAAGATCCCAAAACATCACATAATTCATTGTCCATTTTGGAGGGAGTAAGGTCAAAAAGGGCTGAGGATGTTTTCCTCAGTCATGACTGAGGAAATTAGGAGAGAAATATCTGATGGCATTAACTGTGTCTCAACTTCACTTAAGACGTAGGTTCTTTTGACCTCTCAATCATGCTGGTACTGTTTAAATGTTACTCTGCAGTCAGGGTGCTTAGCCTGTGCAAAGCAAGGCAACTGTCAGGAAAGAATACTGGAAGAGTGAAATGACACCTGAATCCTGCCTTTTTTCACTGAGAATACCATAAACAAAGTCTAGGTTATAACAAAGACTAGTGATAGCAAAGAAAGTCTTCTCTGAGTCCTTTTAGTTGTCAGGAAGTTTAAAAAAAAATAAATAGGCAAGTCCTCAGCAATGTAGCTCAAACTCAGCAGTCTGACAGTAAAGCCCTTGTGGGTTTATACATAAATGTAGTTAAGAAACATTATGTGTGGTACTTATATGTACTACTGTACAAACATTAGCACCAAATCTGTTGTTGAAAAAGCAACTAACCTTTATTTTTGTCAGGATCTGCAGTTATGTCAGTGAAGTTGGTACATACGGTTTCTGGATACTGGGGGACAGTATTTATGTCTCTGCTGAATGAAGACAAAGGACTTCTTAAAATTTTGGATTATCAACATTAAAAATTCCCTAGTGATTCTTCCAGGGCCACCCAGAGGATTCAGGGGGGCCTGGGGCAAAGCAATTTTGGGGGCCCCATCCATAAAAAAAGTTGCAATACTATAGAATACTATATTCTCATGGTGGCCCCTGCGGGGCCCAGGGCAAATTGCCCCACTTGCCCCCCTCTCTGGGCGGCCCTGGACTCCTCTCCTAGAAAAGAAAATTCAAGGAGTTTTATACGTTTTTTTCATGTTGAAAATTTTCTGATGCATGTCTCTAGAATGGAAGCTACTACACAGTGCGATGGAACACTAAATAATAGATGATACTGTAGGGAGCATGGAAATGGTGTCCCTTTGCTCCAGAAATTAAGCTTTTCCTTTGCCTATTCTCCTTACTCTGAGCTATCGCATACCTCACAATCTCATCATTTTAGTGCTTATTACATGTGGAAAACAAATAAAATACTCATTATCTTAACTCTTTATTATCCATATTTCAGATGATATAAAACTCATGAGCCAAATTTCATTTATCAAACATTCTGATCATCTGAAGATTTCAGATGTCCCCCAACCAATTCAGATAATCAGTTTACTTTAAGATAATATATATAACATAATCCATATATTAATGTATGTGTATTCACATATTCCACATACATCTAATTTAACTGGAACACAGACTGTACTGAGACTAAATGAGAGCATGGTTCATAGGTTCAGACTGAGATTAAGTTTGTTTGGGATGAGCTTTATCTATTAGTGATTGCTAAACATAAGAGGTCCACCCATATCTTTAAAACCAATAGGTCAGCTTTCCATATACTGTACTACAGAAATTTAGTTCTCAGTCACCTGCAGAAGTTAAGAGGAAGAAAAAACTCTGCTCACTGAGAGCCCAACTCTTCTTTGTGGGTGTGACCTCTCTCCCAGTCTGTGACATTTTGGGCTGTACCTCTCTTCCTGCAAATATCAGAGATGGTTCCAAATTTGTTGTTGGGAATTACAGGCTTTTGACTACTGTTGACAGGTATTTCCAAAGCTGCACTGAAATACTCCATTATCAGTAACCCAAGGGAAAATATGTAATTGACTCTAGTAGCTGAATCCCACTTGTCTCAAACTGGGAGTGAGATGAAGATCCAGGTAACTAAAACTTTAGATGCTGCACATATTATAGTAAGGGGGAGGATATGTCAGAGAAAGAAAAGGAACAATTTTCAAGTTGTCTCAGGACAGCATGATTCTCATAAAAAGAACCACATCAACTTAAAAGTGACATATTTGTCTGACCTTTCCTTACCTAAAAATTAGCACAGAAAACTACTAGAATGGGAAGATAATAAAAATACGTATCCTATATTTCCCTTGCACAATAAGCAAGGTTCCCCTATCATTTGTGTAGTTTTTTTCAGAGAGCTACAGGGAAGAGAGAAACATTTTCAACATTAGGAAAACATGAGTGTACTACCTCAAAAATTAGCAGTGACAATCACAAGCAGGTGGTGAAACCTGAAATTGTTTTTAATTCATTTTTAAAAAACTAACAATATTTCAAGTTGATGGAGTTTCTTTAATATTTTACCGGGGTAGACTTAACAAAAATTTACCTGGTATTGCAGATGTTATGAGACAGATTTAAAGTGATGGGAGTTTCAGTTGGAAAATCATTTTGTGAAATATTCTCCCCTAAATAAAACAATGATTGTGAATCAAAAAAGAATTTGAAAACAGAAACATATACACAATACACTTACCAATGGTGTGTATGAACTTATTTCTCAGTGTGGAATGTCAGTACCAGCACTTACCATTTCAGAATGTATTTATCAAATATGCTTATTTATAAACCCCTCTGAAATCTATACAGTTGTCATGTATTATATGGATTCTCAACCTGGAGACTATGATCCCTTCTTTATGGCTAGCTAAGAGGAGGGCCCAGACATTTTTTTTCTGTTGCAATATGGGCCCAGGATTTGGAAAAAGATTGAGAGCCACTATTCTACCAGAAGAAGGGGCGGCTCTAGCTTTTTTGCCACCCCAAGCATGGCAGGCAGGCTGCCTTCGGTGGCATGCCTGCGGGAGGTCCCCGGTCCCGCGGATTTGGTGGCATGCCTGCAGAAGGTCCGCTGGTCCCGCGGCTTCGGTGTACCCGCCGCCGAATCCACGGGACTGGTGGACCTCCTGCAGGCATGCCGCCAAAGGCTGCCTGACTGCCACCCTCACAGGGACTGGCAGGGCGCTCCCCGCAGCTTGCTGCCCCAGGCACATGCTTGGAATGCTGGTGCCTGGAGCCGCCGCTGACCAGAAGAGTAAGTCCTTCTGTGGTGTAGGACTTTATGAAAAGAAAATACATTTATGCATTGGTTTTTGTGCAGTGTTCACCTCAAAAATTGTTACTACTAACATTTATAATGTTAATTATTCATTCCTACTTATTATCAAAATGATTGAGTTTGAAAAGAGTTATACTACATTATGAATATATAGGGTTGCCAACTTTCTAATCACACAAAACTGAACACCTTTACCCTGTCCCGTCCCTTCTCCAAGCCCCTGCCCCTTCTCCGAGGCCCTGCCCCGATCACTCCATCCGCCCTCCCTCCATTGCTCCCTTTCTCCCACCCTCACTCACTCATTTTCACTGGGCTGGTTCGGGGGTTGGAGTGTGGGAGGGTTTGTGGACTCCAGGATGAGGCCAGAAATGAGGGGTTCAGGATATGGGAGGGGCTTCCAGGCTTGGGCAGAGGGTTGGTGTGCGTGTGGGGGGAGTGAGGGCTCCAGCTGGGGGTGCTGTCTCTGGTTTGGGACTGGAGATAAGAGGTTTTGGGTGCAGGGGGGATTCTGGGCTGGGGCAGCGGGTTGGAGTTGCAGGAGAGGGTGAGGGCTCTGGGAGGGAGTTTGGGTGCGTAAGGGGGCTCCCGGCTGGAGCTGACCAGAGCTGCCTGGGTCCCTTTTCAACCAGGTGTTCCGGTAAAAAACCAGATGCCTGGCAACCCTATGAATACACAGAAAATTATTCCAGAGATAATTCATCTCATTAGGTCAGAGGCACAGCTAATCTTTCCTAACTCTGAAGCCAGGTTTGTTGATACGTTTTTGCTCAGACACTAAATTATATTTATATTATTCAAAATAGCATTTAGAGACATGAAACCAATTGTTCCATGTCACTAGAGAACATTCAATATAAACTACTTTAAATTCTGTTCATTATTAATACTGCAGCAAGCTACCTGTTAACACTACTAATGGTACTAAGGATTTTCACCGTTCTTTTTAATATGGCACAGCAACCAAGCATAATTGTGCCTTCTGGTGTTTGTGATGTGCTTTGGGCTTATTGCCATATACAAGTGCATGATTCTGGGGTATTCTCTGTAATTTTTTGAGCTCTCCATCCATGCCCTTTCTTAATTACCCACAAACAAAGATTCTTTTCACTTTTGCCACTTAAAGATGTAGGTCATATACAAGTTAAATAAGTTAATGGAGATATCCTATCTCCTAGAACTGGAAGGGACCTTGAAAGGTCATCGAGTCCAGCCCCCTGCCTTCACTAGCAGGACCAAGTACTGATTTCTGCCCCAGAACTCTAAGTTGCCCCCTCAAGGACTGAACTCACAACCCTGGGTTTAGCAGGCCAATGCTCAAACCACTGAGCTATCCCTCCCCTCCACATTCTGTGTGTTATATTACAACACATAACATATACATTGTTCCACATGTAACAATAATCTAAAGGTAAGGACTGAATTAAAATGTGGACAGAGTTAGTAGCTCTCAGTTCTGCAGTCTTGCCAAAAGTGACTAATTGTACAGCTTCCTTAATTTCTGGTGTGGTACATTTTCAGTTTGCTTTCTTATCCGCATTTTCTCTTTCCCCTTTTGCTTTTACTGTTGATGGCTCTTTTTCTCTACTGTTGGGTATAGTATCATGGCAACCTGAGTCACTAATGCATTCACCCTAAGATATTCTTGCAAAATGATTACATGTTTTAGACACATTTAATAAGTAGGAGACCATTTTTCCCCATGAAGGAGCACAAAAGGCATACAAATTAACTGGAGGCAACTAGATGCCTTGACTAGAGTACTGGGGAGCACTGAATGAATTTTGAGGTTTTCTAATGTTTACAAGGAATTTTCTAATGCAACAAAGATCTCAGCTACTTCAGAGTGTGCACAGGTCAGATATTGGAGTCCTGGCTCATTTCTAACATACAATATTATAATGGTTATGGAACAACAAATACAGCAATTCTGCATCTTGGAGTCTTAACTCCAATGTTTGTTTTAGATTTCCTGAATAATAAACTCAGGTGAACCATGAGTGGATGAATACAAAACCCCTTTGTGTTATATATACACATGATGTACATTGTTTTATACAGGATGTGCACTTTCAAAACTGAATGCCAGCTTAAAAAAAAGTAGCTGGAAAAAAGATTTAGCAACTGGTAAAATACTTTCTGGTCCCTCACTCTGTAGAATGCTACCATGAAGACTCGATTCTATTAAGCCCTGGTATCTGGGTAGACTGCATAAGCTACACACACTCTCCTTGTAACTATCCAAAAAGAAGACCTAAACTCGGCATGTACTTGTGCGTATTCTATTTCCAACACTTACTTGACGGAAGAAAATGCCGGGTAGTAATCATGGGCTTTTTATCTCCATCTGAGCTGCTTGTGCTACTCCAGCTGCCCCAGCTACCACGACTGGCACGTACACTTCCTGAAGAACTTCCACAGTCCGAGCTTGAATCAGAGCAAAATTTTTCCAAACAATTCTTCTTAGACCGTTGATAAAAGCTTTCTGAAAAAAGTTGAAAAAAAAAAAAGAAAAGAAAGAATATTACATTTAAACTCAAAATTAAATATTTTTTTTTAAAATGTGTTATATTAATCCTTTAAACCTACTGGGCAGAAACAGGAAGTATTATTTACAGATAGCATCACTGGCATGTATGGCATTTTATGGGCATACAAGATGACAAAATCTCTACCCTGGAGGAGCTTATCATCTAAGTTACACCTATAACACAATGAGAAGTGACAACAAACCATGGCCTATAGGGGCTGAGACAGGAGTAAGAAATGGGAAGTGCATACTGCTCTTTACAATAAAATTTGTGCTGCTTAAACAGATACCTTATATAAAGACCCTGGGAACATGCACATTAAAAACAAAAACAAACCTAATAAATAACTCAATAGTAAACTATGGACTTTCCCCTCCTCCTCATCTTATCGAGAATAAGAACTACCACTATATAAACTCATTTATCTGCCTAACACTCCCCCTTCTCAAAAGCTGGGAAAAACAGATAGACTTTGAGGAAAGGTGAACAGGCCCTGGATCTGCGGACCAAGGCAGGAAACAAGATTCAAAGTTGATGGTTATTCACTGAAAATGCCCTACCTATACCCCACCTGAAGCTATTCTGGGGACTGTCACTTTAACTGATCTCAATTGTGATTATATCACACAAGGAGACAGTTGATAGGTAGGTATGTCCCAAATAGTTTAATGCAGTGTTGTTCCCAGGACATCAGAGACAAGGTGGGTGAGGTAATATATTTTATTGGACCAACTTCTGTTAGTGAGAGAGAGAAGCTTTCGAGCTTACACAGAGCTCTCTTTAGAAGTTGGTCCAATAAAAGATATTACCTCACCCACCTTGTCCCCCAAACAGTTTAAGGCATTACAGTTTCATGCTCTGACACGTCTTCTTACCTTGGCTAGGGAGTATTATGGATGAAATGCATTTAGCCCCTCAGAGAAGGAATACTTTTTGGAATTCCTTGGCATCTCAGCAACCATACTGACTGGCTCCCAGGGGAGCTACATATAGCCCTCATTGGCCAGGACGGTCACATTAAGGGGCCCATGAGAGCAAGGGAAATAAAAATCCCCAAGGGAAGTAATCAAAATATTGTGGTGTCAAAAAACTACACATTACCTTTTCCCAATGCAATCCCAATAATGATTACATACCTGTTTCTCCCTGTGTAGACAAGCTCCCAACTTTTTGATCTGTTTTACAAGTTTCCCTTATGCCAAAGTTAGTTCTTAGTTCAGGCCTTTCAAATTCCTTGCACATACGCTTCAACTCATTCTGTTCAGGAGCCCTGAAATAATCACAAACCAAATGTGTTTACATTTTAACGATCATTTTCCCCCTTCCAATTACTAAACATTTTATTAGCAACTCTGTCAAGCCAAGATCTTGAGCTGGGAACAGCCTCAAAACTCTCCTCAGGTTGGCTGGGACTGTGAGTGAGACAAAGGTGATAGATACCTTCAGAGCTCACACAGGACAGTGCGGGTGCAAGAATTGGCAGCATATTTCCAACAACTTGGGAGGTCACCAGAACCACCAGGTGCTTCTTTACAAACATTGTCACACCTTCCTGTCACTGCCCCCTACCTGTGAAGCACAAAGTGATCCACAAAGCCATTACCCTCTCCTCCAAGTTGTTCCTCAAAACACACTTCTCCTCTGATGCCTACAAGAAAGTATAGGTTGGGAGACAGTCTGGGATACTGAAGTATTGTCACCCTTTTTTAATATATAAAAATTGTATATCTTCCAAACAATCTCTCAAATTCTCTATATTGTTTGCCTTCCTAGACTCCAATCTTGCAATCAAATCCACTGAAATCGAAGTACCGTATATACTCGTTCATAAGCCGAATATTTTTGGTAAAAAAGTGATGCATCAAAGAGCGGGGGTCACTTTATAAACTGGTCTACACCAAAATTTGATGATTTTAAACTCTTTGGAATCATTGAATTGAATATCTAATACACTGTCGTTTTGTTTACCTGGAGTGTCTGCAGGCACGGAGCCCCTCAGCTCCCTGTGGCCGCAGTTCACCATTCCCAGCCAATGGGCGCGCCACTTTCCGCAGCTCCCATTGGCTGGGAACGGCAAACCGTGGCCACTGGGAGCTGAGGGGCTCCATGCCTGCAGATACTCCAGGTAAACAAAGTGTCCCGACCCACCAGCGGCTGGGAGCCAAAGTTTTCCAACCCCTGAAATATAGGGTCAGCTTATGAAAGGATCATACAGGCTTTGCTATTTTTACTTATCCATCTTGTGGGGGTCGGCTTATAAATGAACAGACTAATGAACGAGTATATACGGTATTTCTGCAGAGCTGTAGAGTCTGCCCAGGGGGATCTGACTGCAGGATCAGGGTCTAAAATTGTTAGTTCCTTGTGAAAAGGATCTAGATTTCCAGCGCACCCTAAACCCGATTTGGGCTCCTGAACACTAACACAATAAATAATCATCAAAATAATAAGCAGAAGAAAACCCACAACTGATTCAGGAAATATTAATCTCTTTTCAATTCTTAGCTAGTAGGAGCCAACATTTCTTGATCTAATACATCATCAGTCAGATCCATGTTAAGAGAAGCCCAAAGCCAATCAAGTGGCAGGGCTGAATGCAGAATAGAAACACCAAAATTTTTTTTATCTTTAGCATTGTGTATTTCAGGACTAGTTTGGCTAATATTGGAAATGACAAAAATTTGAGTTCTTATTTCTATGGAGAGTAGATGGCCACATTTTAATGCCTAGACAGCAATGATTGTTGAAAGGAACATAAATGAACCAGTAAGAGAAATAACCTAGACAAACATTTCCCTTCCATTTTTGTCTGTCTTATCTACACAGACCCTGATCCTGTGCTGAATTCTATGTATTATGAGTAGATTGGGATATGCAGGATTATCACAATGGTCCCTTGTGTTCTGACTTTATCTAGTTACACTACTTAGAGACTGTTAAAGTCTATATAAATCTTTTCAGGATTGTGGCCTTAAATCTAAGCTGTTTGGGGGAGGCACTTTCTCTTATTGTATGTTTGTACATTGCCTTGCACAATGGGGCCCTGATTCCAGATGGCATCTTTAGAGTGACTGTAATACAAATAATTTAATAATGATAAATAACAACATAAAATAATAGGAAACTCTTACAATTAATTGACTCTTAGAAGTTATTGAAGTAAACTTATAAAAAAAGTTTTAAAAATATTTCTCAGTATCTTTTCATATTGCTGCCTAATATTCCGATCTAACCTTACTTTAAACTTACCTAGGGTTACCATATTTAACAAATAAAAAAAGAGGGCCCTCCACGGGGCCCTGGCCCCGCCCATTTCCCACCCCAAGCCCTACCCAACTCCGCCCCTTCCCCGCCCCCTCCTCCCTCCCACTCCCAGCAACGCGAAAAGGGCTGCCCGAGCGCTACTGGCTTCACGGTTTGCCGGGCAGCCCCCAGACCCTGCGCCCCCGGCTAGCGCTTCCCCAGCGCAGCTGGAGCCCGGGAGGGGAAGCGCCCAGCCGGGGGCGCAGGGTCTGGAAGCTGCCCGGCAAACCGTGAAGCCGGTAGCACTCGGCTTCGGGCAGCTCGGCTCTTAAACAGAGCCGAAGAGTCCGGGGAAGAGCAGAGCCGCCGCAGGAGGGGAAGTGCCCGTCCGGCATTTTCCTGGACATGTTCGGCTTTTTGACAATTCCCCCCGGACGGGAGTTTGATTGCCGAAAAGCCGGACATGTCCGGGAAAAACCGGACGTATGATAATCCTACCTTTCTCTGTGACACCTGGCTCCTGGAGCCCCACGGCTGCTGCCCTGGCACTCTCCGGCCCGGGCCTTGGCATGTACGGGAGGGGAGCTGACGCGTGCCTAGCCCTGATCTATGGGCCCACCTGACCTAGGGATGCAGTCTGCCGAGATCTGAACCCCTCAGGGTTGCTGATGCATCCAGTAGGAGAAAGTAACCATTTCTGGTGGCTTTGCTGATGCAATATCAGTCTGGGGCCCACTTCCGAAAGAGTAAAGGGACAAGCCTGGAGCCCTTCATTTCTATGCTCAGTAAAACTTCACCGTGACATTGTCATATGAAGGTCTGTGTAGCTGAGGTTATGTCTGTGTAAGGGGATTGTTGTTCCCTTACTAAAACTCAGTGGGTTTTTTTTTGGTTGGCTAGTTCCCACTACCAAAAGGAAGGGGAAGGGTCGATAGGAAATCAGAACCCTGAGACTGACAGTCTCCAGGGGAAATGGGGAGAGGCCAATGCTCCAGGGCAGGGCAAGCAGGCTAATGAGGGAGTCAGGAGGCTGGGGGGGGGGGGGGGGTCGGTCGGTCCCGTGTTCCATGTGAGCTGGAATTGTCTGGGTCAGACAGAGTGGGGCCAAGCTAAGGAGAGAGCAGGGACCCGAGTTGAGCTGGGGAGCAGAGCTGTGCCAATCAGAGAAGCAGCCCAGAGAGCAGTCCTGTGCTGGTGGCAGAGCTGCAGCAACCAGAGCCAGAGGGGCCAGAAAAAGCAGCCCAGGGAGCTGGAGCCAGAGCATCATCAGTGCTGAGGCTGGGTGGAGCTGGGGCTGGAGCACTCAGTAGCAGGGTACAGTGAGCAGCTGGGGAGAGCAAGGGGGGACCCTGGGCATCAGGCCCAGCACTGGGAGACGCCCCCAGTCAAGAGGCCTTGCAGGCCAGACTTGGAGGGGGATCGACACCCTGACTGGAGCGCAGGGGTGTGAGGGGGCTGATGCTAGAAAGAAGGGTCCTGCCACCTAGAGCCTGAGGCCTGGTCTACACTGGGGTGGGAGCTAAGTCGGTCTAAGTTACACAACTTCAGTTATGAAAATAGCGTAGCTGAAGTTGACGTACTTAGAGCTACTTACTGCAGTGTCTTCACTGCGGTAGGTTGACTGCTGATGCTCTCCCCTCGACTCTTCCTACGCGTTTTGCTCTAGTGGAGTCAACAGGAGAGCGCTCGATTTATCGTGACTTCACTAGACACGATAAATCGACCCCTGCTGGATTGATTACTGAGAGTGTGTGGCCACCACCAGAGCAAGTGTCCAACCCCCAGCATCCCTGCAGCACAGCCAGGGCCTGAGAAGGAAGCCTGGGACATGTGAGGAACAGACTTTGAACTTCCCTTACATTCCAGAGATGCTGTTGTGATGTCCCCATGCCACAGAGCAGGGTTATGTGTTTTCCTTTAACCTTTCCCATTTTTTCCTTATTTTTTTTAAATTGCTGTTTAATAAATTATATTTGCTTTGAACTGTATGTAACGATCAGTGGGTCAGGGAAGTGTCCAGTGCAGAGAGAGCACCCCAGAGTGAGGACATCTAGCCCCTGCCGTAAGTGAGCACAACAAGGTTGGGGGTTGAGTCCCCCAGGAACTTGTTGGGGTTAAGAGGACTCTGCCACACAGGAGAGTGGAAGGGGAGCCCTGGAGGTCAGGCAGGCCTCTGGGTAAAGGAAGTGGGAGTGAGGACTCCGATCCTTTCACTAGCCCATTTCACTGGAGTAGTGTATAAGCCAGGAAAGTTCCCCACAATAGTGAGCCTATTCCCCCGCTTACATCTGCATTGCACACAAAAATATGTTTTTACACTGAGAAGATCCTAGGGGAGGCAAGGCAGTGTAGTTCTTACCTTAACATAAGTAGTTGAAGTAAACCTTAACATAAGTAGTTGAGGGATATAGAATTGACACGCCTACCTATATCAAAATAAGAATTACCTGGGTTAATTCTCCACTAGGATTTTACATCAAGTTATCTATTTTGATGAAAATACACCTTTTTTCCCTTTAGTGAAGATGTCACCTGAGTCCATTGAGGTCATTGTTATCACAGTGACTATGCTATTGTAATTCACTACTGGTTTTGGGATGCCTTTAGAATAACAGATGCTGTTAAAAAACAAACAACTTCCCCCCCCCCCCCCCTCAAACTTGCAAATATTTTGCTGGGTATGCTGCAAAATACTCTCTTGATAGTGTTTTTGGAGAGGGCTGAGTGTATACTTCCCACAATAACAAATGGTTGGAAAGGAGTTTCTTTAGGTGTCTGACTTCCTTTTGAAGTGTCTGGGATTTTATTTGTTGTATTTATGATGTTTGGGGGCATCTAGAGCTTTAAATTAGGTGTCTTTTTATTGTTTTAAATCAAATAAATAACATGATAAAATACTTTTTATTTTAATTTTCTTCTTTCCTCTTATAGACTAAGAGAACAAATAAAACAACAACTTATGGAATATAATACAACAGTTCATGCAGGTAAGTCTCTTTGTCTTTCTTTCTTTGATTCCTGTCCATTAGCTCCACATCAACAATGAAGCCAAATGAAGTCTTCCACC